GGTCGGTGCAAAAGTCTTTTAGCAAAGGACTTAACTGACCAGCAAAGGTTTGCTAGTAAAATCTAAAGTGTGTCCAGCTGTTCTGACAGCTTGTAAACACCATCCTTTCTCCCTTAACAAAAGACATTTGAGATACGGTGGAACTTTTGATTTCTGAACCGACCTAAAAACAAATTTGTTTATATAATATATACCCCTGAATAAAGTTAAAATGTCCAACACCGAAATAAATAGAATAAACTGAATAAATATTAATGATTACGAAGAGAAGCGCATACAATGAAGCAGACTGAGGAAAAATGTACCCTAACATATTACGAAGGGGAGCGGGGCGAGGAGCGTTCGGTGCGGTTTACAAAGCAATGCTTTGGGAAAGAGTTGGGATAGAGGTGTTTAGTACAGAGATTTCAAAACGGAAACTGTTATCCAGCAAGACGGAGCCTCGGGTGGTTGCTGTCAAGGTTTTACTTGGTGACACTAAATACGAAATTAATGCAAGACCATACAAACAATAAAAAGAAAATGTTTTCAATTTTTCGTGATATTACCAACTCTAGGCAAGTGTTCCGTAATTAATACTTATGCCNAAAGTAAAGGTTATTGTAGTTATGAGTGTATGTGAGTAAAATTTTGGAGCTGGTGTTTGCTTAAGTGGGGGGGTGAATGGGGGGGGGGGGGGAGCGGTGGGGGGTAGGGGGGGGGTGAGAGGGGGGGTGGGGGGGGGGGGCGGTCGGTCGGTGCAGAGAGGGGGTGGATCATGAGGTTTTGATTCTGGTTAGGGCAACGACTAAAGGATTGATTTTTGAAATAATTGATTCATTATATCTAGGCGGGTACGCTTGACCTGACTCAACTGCAAGCATTTTTTTGCAGCGCTTAAGTCCTACTATAGCCCATAATGCACCTCTTTCTAACACGGTTTTAATATAACCTCACGTGATCTTTCTGTTTCGAGTGATCTTTCGCTTATCAACGTCTAATTGTTCCGTGTGACATTTCGAGGTCGATCGCTGGATTCGTTAATTTCTCTGATTGTAGGCGAAAACTAAGCACAGGCACGCGATGGTGAGGCCGGGATGGGAAGTGTTCAAGAGAGGATATCCCCTCCCGTATAGTTTTTACGGTATATTTTGTGGGCGGGGAGGGTGGTGGAACAGGGTACTGTTGTTTGTAGTACCACAGTCAGAAGGGTCAGATTTGTCAGATTGTTGTTCCAATTTCGGTTTTGTACCTCGCTTTTAGCCCCAAGTGGGTTTTGAGTTTTGATTTTTGCTCCCATTCCATCATATCACTGTCACTTTCCACTGGCTAGAGACACTTCAAACTTCGCCTTCATGTCATCCGATGTCGTGGCTCCATGATCCCCTCAGTTAAATTGATGAGTATGAAGCAATGAGAAAAGGCACAAAAAAGGTGGCCAAACACGTATGGGATTGCATGCGTGAAAAAGTAAGGTGCGTCAAAGAAAATATTGCTGACGCCCGAGATTCTTATCTACATTGAACTAAACAAAGAATAGCCAAGGAGTGGAAAAGTACTCAGATCTTCATTATCTAACACATGTGCTATAAAGAACGTTCCTCTGTATCTGTATATGTACCTCTGGGTCCTGGGCCGTAGCAGACAGCGCTCCTGGCAATGCCTTGTAGGGAAGTGAATAACATCGCAGATATTAAAAAATAGACCAATTTCGATATATTAAAATTCATACTTGGCTGCGAGGCTTGGGGGAATAAAACCAAAAGAAATTATTTTGAGGCTCAGTAATGAATAATTAATACATTTATTTTGTATTATCACCGCCAAAACCTCGGAAACAATATTTATGAAATTAAAAATACAATTCATCAACTGTTAGCTTACTTTATTTTTTTTCACCCCTTTTTAATAGCATTACATAGCTCGAAAAGACAAATTCTTAGAATCGTTTAAACTATCTGGCACTTGGAAACTACTAAAAATTAATATTTTTCCTGTGGCTTTTGGCTTTTTAGAGCTGATTCAAGGAAAAATTTTGGAAAGGAAATCTGATTTTGGATTTGTCTTTTATGAGAAAATCCAAAAGTGCGCATGTCTTTGTGGTAGTTGTTTCTTGGGATACAGGCGCGAGAGAGACAACATGCCATCGCACGCTTCATGCACTTTGGAAAGGAACCAACAGCTACGCGGGCTGATAGAAATCCGGATTGACTTCAAACGAAAGAAACCCTCTCTGGTAAAGGGAAAAGAAGATACCAAATTAGAATCTTTTGCAGCGTAGGATGGTTCCTGAAACATAGCTGCCAAAGCCGAGTCTTTACAGGGATCTCTTATCAGAGTGGAAGCCCGAGAAAGTAGTCGATATTTTGCGACGCCACTACTTGTTTCCCCGCCAAATCACATCTGAGGAACGAGTACGAGAAATTCTATATTGATGACGTTCACTACTCAGATCTGGGTAGTTCTTCTGATTGGTCGTTCTGCGAGGAAAATTTGCTTCAATCAATCAGAAGCACTACCCAGGTTTGACTAATGACACGTCATCAGTATGGAATTTCTGCAGGCGTTCCTCAGACGGTATTTCGCGGGGTCTTGGTAGCATCGCGAAAATGTTGGCTGTTTTCTCAGGTTATCAAAGTGGACGCCATGGGCTACATCTTTGAGACCTTCGAAAAGTCGGCAGAAGTTTGAAGAGAAGGGCGCGCACTCATGGCGTTGTCAAACTTCCGCGTGACTTCTTCAGCTTTCGAACGCCTACCATGCAGGAATGACGAGAGAATACCTAACTCGATTGTTGTGTCCCTAATGTAAGGATCCTCCCAGGGTACCCCAGTAGGAAAGTTTACGTTAGGGATAGTCCCTAGGGCTTCTTGCCCGAGAGAGTTACCTACATTCAATTGATGTGATGGATAATGAACTTCCTTCTGGTGTCTTTCCAACTGATCTATTACTGGTGGCAATGGAGTTTCTGCTACCAGGCAGCTCATAATCCTATCCAGTAACCTGTCTAAAATTATAGTCTGTATTGCAGGCGTTTTCTTCGGGTGCGCGAACGTCTGCTCCCATATATAACTGCCATGTTGAATTTCAAAGGAGTCGAGAAGTTGGAGCAGGGAAGGGGCGGAGGTAAGAAGAGAAAACTTCTCCCCTCCCCATCCCCCGCCTCCTTCTTTTGCCCTACCGTCTACTCCGAGGGAAACCCCAAGTGCTGCTGTTACTTTTCTCTCCAATTTGCCTCAGTTGTCCACCGTAATATTGACATAAATAAACAGCTTTTGCCGGCCAACAAAATAGGCCTTCATTGCAAGCACGTAACACCGTAGCACCTCCAGAAGCCTAGTCTCTCTCGCAGCCGTTTTTTGGATGTCAGGCAACGCTCCCCCAAAAGAGCGTTGCGTGACATCCAAAAAACGGCTGCGAGGGAGACTACCAGAAGCCCAGTACCTAGAGCATCCGATCTAGAACTCGGAGGGTCTTGCGTCCGATTCTCATGTGGAGATCGGCAATTTTTGCGAGGGAGCTTTCTATGTTAGATTTCTCGTCCTTCTATAGTATCACATTTGAACACGTAACGCAACTAGAAGTCATACGCATACAAAATGTAATCATCGCCATAAGATCAGAACTGTAAACGTTGAAATTTTCACATAATACTTTGCATTAATGTTTTTTTTTTTGTTACAAAAACTCTTAGCTCATAAATTGCTTAATTTCGCTATTTACCGTACGGTTAAGTTTAATCAAGGCGTCATTTTAAAAAGGGAATCTCCGTTGACGAGTTAATAAAATGTTCAGGTTAATTAGAAACCGCCGGCCCTACGTAGCGTTCTTCATAAGCAGTTACTCCAGATTTGGAGGCACGTTATAATATGGATGGGCTTCATTATGCTTGTTCACATCCAAATATGGTGCATCCTTCTGCATGATGATCTCCAGTTTTTCTATCAGCTGGTAAAAACTGGGTCGAGCTCTTGGGTCTTCCTTCCAGCAGTCTGTCATCAACTCATATCTGTCGAAGACAGTTAAAAACAAACCGATATATAATTCTCTCAAATTAGCTCCTTAGTGGTCACGTTTTTGTGTAGCAAATACAACAACCTTGACTAGTCCCTGTACGGTGTCTTTCCAGTCCTGTCTCGGTCAATGCATTTCGGCGACGTATCCGAGAAAAAATCTTTCGGACCCCTTGACCCGAAACGCATCGGCTGTTGCTTAAGCTGCCTAATAAGGCCTAGGGACGTATTGCAAAAAACAACCCATGCCATTCAGCGGTAATCGAAGGGAAATTGAGAGGTAAAGACTGTGGCTGGATAAGAAATGGTCAGAGATGGTAACTATACAAACTTTCAGCACAGAATCAACCACATTTGAGTTGTTTAAGACATTTCAGAGGTCTCTTAGAGTATATGCAGCTGAAGAAAACTAAACTGGTGTTGTATTCAAACACTTTAAAGTCTGTCATAGAACTAATCCTGAGATCCTGATTTGTCAACTCACTTCTTGGTTTTTGGGTCATTATCCTTAAAAATGGATATATGGTACATTTAAGCGTTTTTGGACAACCTTGTTTGGCACCACAGCAGCAGTTAGAGAAAAAAATGATCAGGCGCACGCGCAAATGGAGGCTTGAAGCGGGAAAAGGCTAATAGGCCCATTACCACTAACTGTACGTGAAAAAAAGAGGAGTCTGTGTTGTCCCTCAAGAATGCCACTGAAGGAGGTTGTTTTTCTTCTAAAAAGAACGCGGGCAATTCCTTTCTCGCGGGATTTACTTCATTTTGTTCGCTTGAGAGCCAGCCGTATACATCATCAGTGACCATCAGTGGCCGGACTCCACAGCCTCGTTCTCATGGTCCGAGTTTCCTTTTCATGCCCCGGAGCGAGCAGGGAGAGTAGGAGATCTAGCCTGGGAACCAACTGTTCGTATTCAAAGGGCAAAGTAGTACTAAGCTCTTTTTAAAGTAAAATTTTGTTATTATTCTGCCATGATAACATATGCTAAAATCACTGGAGCGATCAACTTACACTTCATCGGAACTCATGTCAGGTTTTTCCATTCGGTATCCAGAGTTGAGCAGGCGATACAGCTCTGTATTAGTCAGCGTAGGGTATGGTACGCCTCCTGGATCCAACAGAAGAAGAAAATCAGTTATTCAGAAAAAGCTGGGCAGTAAGTTTGACAATCATTTTCACGTTATATGTTCAGGTCTAAGACTGCAGAGTCCTTCAGGATAGACCATTTCCGAGTTACAAAAACCCTCACTTTCAAAACGAGTGCAAAACCTTTCTTGTGATATTGAGTTACCTTTGCATGAAAGTAAAAAAACTCATTTTCATATCAATGGCTTCACATTTAGCCTCGCTTTGAAACAATGGTTTGGGGCAACCCTAGACTACGAGTAGTCCCGCATTTTTCCTAAGGGATAAGGCTTCATTTTTCTCTCTCCCCGCCGCGTGTCGCCTTTTCTCGCGTGGGGTGATTTTCACGCGCGCTCGCGTTTCGCTCGCTTTACTATCCCTGAGGCAAAATGGGGGACTACTCGTAGTCTAGGACAACCCGGACACGGCCTATTGTCTTTCGTGCGAGCATGTTACGTGTGAGGGAATTAAGAGGCAAACGCGCGAGAGCTAGAGAAGACGGAATCTGGGAATGAACAACTGGTGCCTGGACCAAAAAAATTATGAGTCAGTGTTTTTTATTAGAAACGAGTAAAAGTAAGCAAGCAGTTGTAATTAAAGTAAATAAATCTCTAAGTATACAGACCCAATGTGGCCATTTCCCACAGAAGTACGCCGTAGGACCAGCTATGAAAGAAAACAACAAAATAGTTACAGAGCGGATATAGTCAGACGGTCAAGGCTAAGAAGATTTTGTGGAAGGGAATTCACGCTTTGCCTTTTCTAGGTTAGTTTTAAAGAGGCCAGCAAAATCCTACTAATATAAATCAGTTGGCAAAATTTTAACCCAAACTTTGCTATAATGAAATGGCGTTCGAGAACTTAAAATATAACTAAAAATATTCCGAACTTATATTCCACGAAAGAATTACGTATACGTCGTCGGGGATGAAAAAATCAGTTCGGAAAAGACTATTAAAAGTAAGTTAATCCATATGAGCCTCATACGATGAGATCTATAGGCTAACGTTAAACTGAAGGTCTTATTCTACGCACACATCGCTCTTGATGGTAAAGGTGGCGCGATAAAGCGATTCTGGAGCCATCCATTTGACGGGAAGTTTCTTGGACTTTTCTGAGCCCTTAACATCTTCATAGATTTTTCGCATCAACCCAAAGTCAGACACTTTCACCCGATTGTCATGGCCAACAAGGACGTTACGAGCTGCAAGGTCTCTATGAACAAAATTTTTTTCGGCAAGATGGTTCTAGTTATAAAGGTAGAGAAAGGGAAATCAAATTTTAGCATCACATAATAACAGATAACTAATATACATACATACATACATACATACATACATACATACATACATACATACATACATACATACATACATACATACATACATACATACATACATACAAACATACATACATACATATCCTAAAAATTCAAGGAAGAGTTTATGTCTGATCAACAGCCAGTTAGCCGTCAGTTCAGACACCAACACTTAAATATACAAGCCAAAATTATGATAAAGTATTCTTCCAAAATCCCTTTGTACCCACATCAAAGAACTCCAATCCCGTGAAACTTTCGCCGTTTTTGAACACTGCCGAGCGACGGCGGTCACAACATCAACCCACACAATGCTAAAGTTCTACCTGACAAAAATAGCACCATCACGGTTTTTACCGCGTCAAGGAGGCCATTACCATCGAACAAAGAAAACCGTCCGTGAATAGGGACGAGGGACTGGACCTCCCGGCCATGTACTATCCTCTCCTGGGGGAACATTACAACCTTTTTGGTATATATTAACCTGGCATTTTTACATTGCTGATCACGGATGCAGTTCGAGCGATTCGATCGAAATATTCCATTTTGTCTTAACTTCTTGTTCCTGAGTTTTGAAATTTTGTAGAATAAATAATTAAAGTGACTTTAGTTGGACTATAGTTATTAAAGTGGAATATTAATGAAACCCGTTAGACTCAAGGCGTTAGACTCTTTGTTATATGTTTTTGTTAGCCCTTCTGGACCTGACCGCGCACAATGTTCAATAGCATTCCTATCCATTTTTAAAGGCTAACTCTCTAGTCGGATATGATAACATGTAAACAAATACAGTAGCTACCATTCCCTTCGCTATTTGCCATGCAAATTTAAAGAGCTGTCGAGTAGAAAAGCTTTCCTCCTCGTCATGTGGATCTTCCTCGAGACTTTCACTTGAGGGCGGCTTTGATTCTGTGTGCTCACTTTCCACGGGTGGGTTGTTTGACATGTTCAACTGTTCTTTGGTGGACTCTTCCAATCCCTTATCCTAAGTCCACAAATGGTGCAAAACATGTCAAGAAGGGTCTAGAATGTAAAACAACCTGTATTTTTGTGTAGATCAGGAAACCGCGCGCATGTGTTTAAACGAAAGGTCTGAACGGACGCCCCTCAGCCGTGTGAGGCTCGCACGCTCCGCCCGAGAATCTTACTCCGCGAGTTAGTGCCTTTGACGACTGTGTTGTTGTCTCAGATGGGTCAAATTGACATGGAAATTGAGGAAAAGTGTTTATTATAAACATCAGCAGATTATTTTGTAGTTAACAACACAACGGCTGAATAACTAACGACGTGAAAATAATTGGAAACTAGTATATTTGTTTATTACTATAATTAATGGAATATTAAGTAATGAGCGGCTGTGGCCTTTTGACAGTTGCATATGCAGTGGCTCGCTTTGCTTTAAGGTGACAACGTCCGGGGAGAATATACAGAGACTACAGAAGTGCTATGTTAAGAAGGAATATATGAACAAAATGGCAGTGTGATGTTTGTTTATTTGTTTGTTTTTTTAATCTAGGCGCATTTTAAATAAGCAACGTCTTAAAAACGGTAAAGTAGGACTAAATCATGTGTAATCTCGCATATTTTAATGGATAAAATGAAATGAATTTAAAAAAGTTTACATCATGGAGATTCTCAGAGGTCATCTTGGCGTCCTCTCTAATGGCGTCACCGTCATCTTGTAATAATGGAGTCATTTCCATGTTCATTTGTGTCTGCTCTTGCTCCACCTGTTGCTTAGCATCCTTGCTTTCCTGTGTGAAATCAAAATCCGTAAACAAATTAAAAAGTAGCCTGAGAAAATTAATTAGTAATTCCGCGATGCCACCACTGGTTCCAGTGACATTAAAAGAGGTGTAGCTCTAAAAAGACCAAGCTATTTAAAAAATATATATGTAGTCGAATTTTTGAAAACATACTTCAAATTAAAATGGGCCAGATTATTCGCACAGAAAGCTGGCGATAGCCAGCTTTCTGACCACTGCGGTGAGAAAAAACATAGGGGGCTTGCTGTCCTGGTTGGTCTCATTGTCAAGCTCAGTCCCTGAGCTAACTCGTCATGGGTTGGAAAGGGGCCTCCATGTCAATCCCTAGGGGCGGAGGGTGCTGCAAAAGCGTTGTACCTTCCGTTAGTCCTGGTCTGGGAGAGTCAGTGGACTGGTCATGTCTGCCTTTAGTTTGTCATGTCAAATTCTTGTAACGTTTGAGGCCCATTGGCCAATGAAAGCATTCCCCTCAAGCACGTGCTAGGCTGGGGGGGGTTGAGGAAGTCAGGGGGGGTGATTTTACCTTGAATTCTCTGCTTAGAACTCGGTTAAGTCTCAAGCATCCTCCGTCATTTAGGGCCTTTAAGGAGCTAGAGTGTATGGACAAGTCCAGAGTGTCTTTTTGATGGACTTGAATGTTTTTTTTGCTAATCAGGAACCAAGAAGAGAGTCACCTTAAGAGAACCATGGGTAAGAGCTGAGTTTCTTGGCCATATTTACTTTAGTTGAGTCAGTTTAAGGTGTGTGGGCTCCTGGAGTCCGATGGTACGGTTTTTATAAATCCGGCTAGATATATATATCTATTATTACCTTTCCCTTCGCCATTTCCTGAGCAAATAAAAAGATGTTTTGATCGGTGGAAAACGACACCTCGTCATCAGTGAGATCTTCGGCCAAACTTTCCGTTGAGGCTAACAGGGCGGGGGCGTGCTGATTTTCCATCGGTGCGGAAGGGACTGTTGGCTGTTCGTCGCTGTTAGTTTTGAATCCCTTATCCTGCAGGGGAAGAGTTCGCTGCATGTAAGGAAATCGGGATTCCCGAATTCGGAATCCGGGGAATTTTTAGCGTATGGAGCCCGAAATCTTGGAAAATTGTGCTTGAGAAATCCGAAATCCTGGGCTTTGGAATCTGGAATCCCAATTACGATTGGAAACCAGATTCAAGTTCCACTGACAGATCGTTTACTGGAATCCAGTGCCTGGAATCTGGAATACACGGTTTGGAATCCAGAATCCAGGACTGTCTTGAATTCCCTTAGATGGGGCTATAGAGCTGAATCAGGGGCACCCAATCTCAATTTTTGGAAAAGATCTGTTCGGAAGACGATTTGAGAGCTAGAATTTTCGGAACATTTGTTGTAAAATTTCTTGCTAGCCTGCCCCTCCTAGGGTTTTCGAACATCTAAAAAATGGTATAATTGCCCATTTTTAACGGATTTTTACCCTAAAAAGGTCACCTAGAATTTTCGGAAGCCTTGTTCGGGCTGAAAGTTTGGAAAAGGTAAGTTTTGATTCCTATAATTTTCGGATCACTATACTTTCAGCTGGGAAATCCGAACAGATGAAAAGTTTTTAGGAGACAAAAATATGCCTATATCTACCGTTTAAATACTAAAATATGATCAACAATGCATGTTTAAGTGATTTTGAACTATATTCTCGTTGGGTGCTCCTGTTGAATTAAACATTGAGAGAAGTTTTACTCTTTCAAGGAAATGACAGCAAAATTGAGGTTAGTTTGTAAAATGGTCAAGCCCTTCGTTCTTACATTCTCACAAAACATCTTGTCCATCTTGTCCTCATTGTCATCTTGTAATAACGGAGTGAATTCCGCACTCACTTGCTTCTCCTCTTCTTTATCTTGCACCTCAAAGAGAAAAACACAATATGATACGATAACTTTGTTACATGCTTGGAAACTCAACTTGATAAGCTCTTTAACTGCTTGGATGTCAGGCCTTCTAAGGGCACTTTAATTTCTGTTAGTAAAGAGATCAGTTTCAGGTCGAAATTTATGCAATTGTATCAACCTATTCAGACGAATTCGCTCTCCCTGATTTAAGAATATAATCACCTTAACAGAGCTAGGTTTTGTAAAGTCCAATTTTTAAATAGTGAAGAGATACATCGGAATAAGATAATGTACCGCGGCCGATGCATTACTCGAAAATGTTATGTCATAAGCTGTGACTATTATACTCTTAGATTATGTACATGATCAACCTCGTCCCCAGGGCTTTTCCCTTAAAAAATGGGTGGGGCGGGAAAAGGCCCTGGCATCAGCTGGTCACGTGTCCCCTCGTACACCCTAAAATCCTGGGTGTAATAAATTAGCACCATGTGAAAAGGTAAAATTATGCGTAACCTCACAGCGCGCGATCTTGGGCGGCCTTTTATACCTATTGACGATTAACGAAAAGTTTTACGAAAAGGTTTCGTTTTGTCACAGATACTGGCTATGGTAATTTTTTGCTTTCCTCCGATTTCTATGAAGGAGGCAGCGAGCGGTAACATTTTTAAAACTTCCTTTATAGAGCGATATAAATGACAAACAAGCTATCGTACATGCATAAAGTTTGTACTGGAAAAGTTCCTTTTCGCGACTCTTTTGATATTTTATTTTATTTATTGCGAAGTGGACCGCCGTACACAACCTAGTTCCATTCACCTTAACTCTCAGCCATATCATCATAGCGATACGCGTTGGTTTATCCTTATCTTGCATGACCTGTATTTTTAAAAAATTCATTGACCTCTCCGAGACTTAACCGAAACCGGAAACCGCGCATGAAAAGTCTCTGGCACCCAGGGTATCAAACGACTGGTAACAAAGAAAGACTTGGGTCCATTTAAAATTGACATAGCTGTAGTTGATTCCAATCGATCGTTCAATCTTCCCTTTAATATAAAGAAAATCCTTTGTACTTATCCTCGGAAGAGAAAAGATATAAGAGAACTTCAAATGTTTCAGATCGGCGACCTGTCATCGTTCCTGGCTGGAGGGCTGACTTGCATCCGGCGCGGAGATTTGTTTGTTTCATGGTCGGGTTGTAGAGAAGACCAGACTCCACAAAGCATTTTGATGAACAATTCTATTTCAATTAAGTTCAATTTGTTTAAATTCACTGCAGATCCTAGAGGCAAAGGCCCGCATTTTTGTTTGACATTGGACAAAATCACTTTCCGCTTGATGATCGTACAGTAATTCCACAGTCACGATGAATTTCAGTCGAAGTACTACTCGATAACAGCTTGTCTCCACTCTGAAGCATTTGACATATTTTGTACGTGACAACGTAGAGCCGGTACGCCCTTTCATAAACTTGTAGCATTTGAATAATACTCAATTAAATGGATCTCAAGCTTTTGAATCGCACAGTCGCGAAAATATTGACATACAGTTCGCGATATTATTATCTTCCATTCCGTTCGACTTCTGTCAGCGCAAAACCAGCGGGTTGCATATAAATTAGCTTCTCAGGAATATTTAGGTTCTGCACGTGACCAGCCGATGCCAGGGCGTTTTCCCGCCCCACCCATTTTTTAAGGGAAAAGCCCTGGGGACGAGGTTGGTACATGATGGTACTGTAGGATACGAATAGATGGTCGCGAAAATGAACTTTATATGGCACTGTCAACATGATAAGCCCCAATGGTCTGTCTAAGCCACTCACTGACTCGACACTCTACAGGCTAAGCCATGCTTATCGCATACAAAAACCGTTTTATTGTCCTCTTGGACATCAAAGCATGTGATTTAGTTACACATAAGCTTAAAACTTCTGATTGCAATTTTAAGACCATTTGAACATAGCGTTTAGTTTACCCCTACCTGATTTTTGGCGTTTCCGTCATCTTTCAAACCCACTTTGTCGTCGTAGATTTTCTTGGAGGTTTGGCGTTTGTAGATCTACAAGATTCAGCAACATCAAAAAGTGAAAACACCTCGCCTCTAATGCTAAGTATAGCGTCATATTTTGTTCACGCAGCAAAACGTACTTGTTATTAACAAATGGGTCCAAGCTAAAGTTTCTAGCTCCATAGCGTTCTGAAATGAGAACTCGGAGCTAAAAATTGAGGAGGACAAGTGTGGTGCGTACCCAGGAGAATAGGAGGCAGGAGGGGTATGGAAAGCGGAAGAGGAAAGGGCGGGAGGCGGGTGCTGTAATAGGGTGAGAAGAGGGAGAAATAAGGGGGAAATAACGCGAAAATACTTAATATTTCGCAATCGAAAAAAGGGGAAAGCCGGAAATTTTCCTTCTCGTTTTTAAAGAGGCGAATCCTTTTCCTTTTTTTTTTAAAGTTCAAAGAACATTGTCGAAATTTCTCATTTTCTCACCCTGTTCCTTCTGCAGCGTAACCATGTCAGCAGATCCCCAAAAGGAACATACTCTATCACCAGGAACTTTTCATCCTGAAGCGTGCAGCAACCAACCAAGGAAACAACGTTCGGATGTGAACCCAACTGCTTCATCTGCTCGATCTCAAACTGGAATTCTTCTTTCTGTGCTGCGCTAAGATTATCTAAACACATCAAAACGTTGGCACGGTACTTTTTCTGTTAAATTCGACTTCCACTTTAGAAACGGGGAGGAGACTGGGCCGAGTTAGCTTTCGCAAAGGCTTCGCGCACGCGCAGGTCAGCTATTGGCCATTTTTTTCCACCGGCAAAAAATGTCTGCACATGCTCTACTAAAAATGACACGTGATCTATTTCGGGCAATGTTATTGGCTCTGAGGCAAAAATACCCGCGAAATGTTGTTGAGATGAAAGAAGCGATGGCAGCTTTTTTTGGCAGTGACAGCGTTGCAATTTCTTGCCACTGTAAGAGATCAAAAATTTTTTTCAGCAAAGTTTTGACGGAAGTGTGTTCTCTAGAGAATATAGAGTCCTGGAACTGGCGAAAAATCGCAGTGGCATGGTCTGATTCAGTGTTGTTGACGTTGAGATCGCTGGTTTGCATGTGGAAGACATGCCGAAAAGGTGGGTAATTTTTACTCTCTTTGTTTACTGCATGTTCCGTGCAACTCGGTACAAAAAGAAATTATAAAGTAGTGGAAGAAAAATTATTGGGCTTTGTTTTGGTATATAAATTAGCTTGTACCGAGTTGCACGGAAGCGACAGTTTTGTCAAATGTGTATCCCGTTTTTGTGTCAAAATTCGACTTTGTGAATCTAACATTCGACAACATTCGACTGTTGATCGAAGAGCGTATTACAACGCTATCCAAAATGTTTTTGTTGTTTAGTTCAGGTTTCTTATCACGGATCCAACAAAAAAAAGTATAGGGACAGACATTTTTGGGCTTTGTTTTGTTAATATGACTTAGCTTGTACTTTGTTGCTGGAAAAACTATATTTAGATACTAAATCTCCGTGTGTTTAAACCGTTTATGGCAGAAAAATAAGCTTACGCTTGCTTCAACTTAATCTCGGGTCACTCGGTACAAAGGAAATTATAAAGAAGGTAAAGAAATATCCTTAGCCATTGTCTTGCTGTGTAAATTGTCTTGTGGCTAGTGGATCGAAAGCAGCCGGGTTGCGGCAGTTTTCTAAAGTGCGTAGTTCGCAACGTGATGTTGTCGATCGATGCACATTTCATTGTTGTTGCACATTATTACAGCTTTGTATGTTACAGAAATCTGAGTTTTATCCGAACTGTCGAATGAGAAAATGTGAGAGTGTTTTCATTAAAACGCTTAGACCGTCTTGGAGCTACATGCATTTCGATGGGTCCGACAACATTTTGATTTGTAAAAAAAATTCTGTTTACAATGTGCACAGCTGCTGTACATTTAGGCTTGCAATTTTATTGAAGGATCGAAGTTTGGATTATTTTGCTCATAAATTTGGCTTGGGATTATCCACACAACGAGTTACTTGTAACTTTCCTCGTTAGGAACTGCACTTACGAGCATTTTTTTCCCCGTGTACAATTTTTCAGTACTAAATTTTTGCACACAAGGCTTTCTGTGGGGGGTGCTTCTTTGCTTGAAAACCGGATCCTGGAAGGAGATGAACAAGGTAATTTTCCTGTGAATGCTTTTGTTTTTTCTGTCCATCGTTTTTGGCTTAATTTTTCTGGAGCAAAGTATGAGTGAATGATAGAGTTAACATGCTATTAAGTATTCAAAAGTTTTTTTCCAAGAAAAAAATAATCATTACAAATTAAACTTACAGGAGTTTAAAGTTTGGAGTAAACTTTGAGTTTTAATGAAATTTTTGTTGGATCATGTTGATGAATGCAGTTGTGTAGGATGTGCAGTTTCCAATTTTGATCTTCTGTCAGAATTATGAGAGAACACTCACAGGTCTCATTCAAACATTATAGTTTCACTGTTATTATTGTTTGTTTCTATTCCTATAAACTTTTCATCAGGTCTCCATTTTGCATGAATTTAATGTGATATATATTTGAAGGGGTTGTTGTTTCACTGTGAAGTAGTTTTCAATTTGTTTTTTGATATGACGTTCAGTTTCTTTTAAGTTGTTGGCTAAGGCAGTGTTGAAGTATCTGACGTGCTAACATACTTTACTTTTCATTTCTCTTCAGAAAAGATTGATTGATCCTGAATCAAACAAAGTGCAGTCCCACAAACAAGATTTTTTTGACGAACAAATGTGTACTGAAGGAAAGCATATGTCCCTGACAGTGTCAATAAAATTTATTAATGGAAAGATCTGTAGCACTGTAGACTATATGCATCACTTTTTTAACCTTTATGTACTAAAAAAATATAATCAGTATTTTTTCCAACTAATACTTGAATCAAAGTTCTCTTCTTTTAAATATAGTATTTCCCTAATTTCAAGAATTTCATTATCTTATTCAGATCAAGCACAGCACCCATTGAAAAGAAAAAAGAAAAAAAAACCTTGCTCGGTCAAAGACGGCTTCAAAGTTTTGATATCAAAATTGCACCCGTTCTCAATGAAAAGACTGAATGCAGACACTAATAAAGTTCATTTAGCTCATGTTCAAGCTTTTTTTTTAATATATGGATTTAGCCAGGGCTAAAAGCGAGGCTCCCATTAATGAATTTATAATTTAAATCAAACAATAAACTTGTATTCCACAATTCAGTTAACTTTAGAGCACATTTGTGTGACTTTTCAGGGAAAGGCTAGGTGATTTTACAGAAAATAATTTGCAAACAGCCCAAGAGTGAACCAAATCTCACATCGAGTTGATAGCCTCATAAGTACACCCAAAAACTGGCAATCATCTTCGATCACATTTATATTAAGAGCCATAATGGCTCTTGATCACCGTAGATTAATTAGGTCTGGAAAAAAATTCCGGCCGAATTTTTTGCGTTCCACAAGTTTATTTTACAAAATCTTGCCCACAAATCTGAGTGCGTGTAAACCAACCTTTTATATCATTTATACATCACATCTGAGGAGAAACAGTACTATGAGGCACTGTTTTTATCATACAGACCTCGGACAACAGAATGCAGTATTTCACATTATTATTCCACTATTATGTCATTCTACCATATAAGGTCAAGAGAACAAGCGAAATACGAGGCCGTAATACAACGTAGTGTCCTGGTTTAACCGGTTTACAACAGGGCGAATACCGGCGGATGCAAAAGGAGCAACTGTGGCTGACAGAATCAGGATGTTTTGGATACTCTCGTTAGAAAATAGAAGCCAAAATATCATTTTTCTTTTGCAGTAAAATAATTAACCTCTCATTCAATGGTTTGGCAAATAATACGCGCGAACATTTTGCTAATTGTTAACGTCATTCTCACAGACAGAATCAGGATGTCTCTGAATACTCTTACCAAAAAATAGAAGCCAATTGCCAGATAATTTTTTTTGTAGTGGAATAATAAACCTCTTATTCGATGGTTTAGCATATAATACGAGCGGACATTTTGCTCATTGCTCGTATTTTTCCACGCCCCTGCGGGGCTCGGAAAAATACTACGCAACTCGCAAAATATCCGCACGTATTATATGCTAAGCCATCGAATAAGGTGTATATATTGCGATACAAATTGCTATTCAGGACGATCGAAGAACGCGTGGGCTTTAGCCGTAATAATCATCTATACGGCCAGCCGGTTCTGACTTTTACAGTGCTAGCAGTGGTGAGTGTTTGAATGAACATTAACAGAGTTACGCTCCAACATAATAGAGGAATTTATTATGTTTATTTTTTATTTTGAAACGGTTTAACGCGCGGCATTTTAAGTAATCCGGGAAGCGTTGTTTACTGAACGACTGAAAACAATCGGCACAACGATTAAAATTACAAGAGAGAGTACTAACAATCAATAAAAGAAATATAATTCAGTGAAACATATACAGAGACGACAATTTTCATTCAGGAAGACAAGTATTAAAGTGTCTCTAAAAATCCTGAGTTTTCGAGCTTAAAGCTGAAGTTTATGTTTTAAGCCGGCTTCCCGGTGATTGCTTTTTTCAGACGAACTCGAGGCAAGAAACTCGAGGCAAGAAAATCGCTCAAACCTTTCTTTTACAGCCAGAATTATAACTAAATATTCTTTGAAACGTTTTCTTTCTATTTGCGGTGAGAAAATGTCTAAAGGCTTTTTAAAGATCTGTAAGCTTACAACAAACCTGATACTCGGTCAGATCATTGTCTCAAATCTTACAAACGTGCGTAAACAAAATAGCCGCATCAACTACGCTCGACTTCATTAAATTAGGAATAAAAAACAAACATCAAATACAATAATTACTTAGGCCTACCACGCGAGATGCAGCTCCTGAAAGGTATCAAGTAAGGCCAGTATCGCTTCAGACTTTGCAACCCTCTTACCCATTAAGCAAGATGAAAACGAAAACGATGCCATCCGAAATCGGATTTCCGACTTTGACTCAACCAAAAACCCAGTGAACAAACTAGCCATGAATAACAGAAGACTCCTGATAGCAGCTGAATTTCACTTTGTACATGCAGTGGAAAAGGAAAGTTAAAAACATCACAAGTTGACACAAAACTCTGTCAGCTTCAGCTGTCAAAGTAAACAAGATTCAGGATGCTGCATAAATTTTCCGCATGAACTCACCTGTCAAATTTTGACCAATCAGAGCATAAAAATTGGACGTAGAGGGTGACCAAAGCGTGAACATGGCGAGAAAAGTCAAAAGCAACTGTCTTCCCTGCCTGTAGCAGCTGGTTGAATTTTCGCGTCCGAGGTCAGTTTGAAATCAAAATTTTAATTGTGCGGCGCATAAACAGAACATATTTCATATGCATTTTTAAAAAAATTAAACTTGAGCCTGCGATCATTTGAAACCAGTACCTTGTCAGCGGATAACTTCAAAAAAACACTTGAACTCGATGGGTCGACACCTGAGCCCGCGATACAGTCAAGTGATACTGGTCAGCGGATACCTTGTTTTGACAGCTGTCAATGGATCACAACATTGACGTGTATCAGTTTTCCTGTGCTCCGATCCCAAACTAGCTAGAAAGTATGAGACTGAACATTGATCGCGATCTAGTAAAATAATTAACTGGTCAGCGGACAGCTTCCAAATAAATCACGTCACCTCAATGAGCTGACACATGAGCCCGCGATATGGTCATGGGATACTGGTCAGTGGCTATCCTGTTTTGACAGCTGTCAATTGACCATATTGTGAATGTCCAATGTAAAAGATGTGGACTTGGCAAGACGCGCCTGAGACACCCCTCCCTTCCTTTTGATAGTCTCCCCTACCCCACCCGTACAATCCGTAGACGCGTACGTACGCTCGGTCAATCACGTGACAACCAAAAGAAAAGAGGTTGACCATAATCTATGGGTATGGGACTCTGTCCCACGCGCCCTTCGCGCGCGTGGGAGCCGCGCTATAAATTGAAAAGTGTTGCCGGAGAAAAAATATTTTTGTTTTACCTTTACGGTAGAAAAATAAAATAATGAAATAACTACCAGGTGTCTAAGCAATTTCAAAGGACCCATAGCGTCTTATTTATCTGCCGCATTGAGCTGTGAACAAAGGCCGTTCTTTCTAGTGAACCTGCTTTTTTCCGAAACATTGTTGTCCTTCGTGATCCAAAGTTGAATCCTGTAAACCGGGGAAATCGCGAGCATCGCAGGAAACGAATCCCACAGGAATAAGTGAAAAAGGATAATAAAAAGTCTAGGCTATTCTAAAAATATCCAATATGCATTTGCAACTCATATTAAACCGCAATTAAGCTTCTTTCCACTGGAATAAACAAACGATGGAGGTATTGCCGCCATTTTGAATTTGGCAATGTCACGTGGTCGCGCGTCGACCAATCAGACATTTTTCGCCGGTGAACCATTTTTTCCCCTTATCCCAGTAACAGTCCCAGCAGTCTTTGCGCAAGTTAACTCGGCCCAGTTTCCTTCTCGTTTGTAAAGTGGCGAACCCAACCATATGGATCATGTCATGCACAACGTTAGGTGTCAATGATTTTTTATCTTGTGATGAAATGAGCCTTTTCCGTACCAAGCATGTGTACTAAGAGATTGTTAAGAAGCGCGTGGTTATGCTTCATTACGATTATTACGACAACATCGAACGTTAACAACGTGGTTAACAACGTCCATTGTTATATTTCTAGACTTACACCCAACTAAACGGGGACTGCCATTGGTTGATTCTTGGTCACGTGGCCTTGACAAAAATCAAATGTATCCCGATTGTTCTCCGCTCGGGATACATTACAGCACGTGATCAAAGCATGGTGGAAAGTGGCGTGACAGAAGGCGGGAAAAACACTGCCAGTTTTCACACAACAAGAGCCCACAACACAACCATGAAGCCTCAAGCTAAAAACAAAGATTTTCGAAGTTACCCCTGAAGAGAAACAGCAGCTAGGGGAGGAAAGAGACGGCAGATAATGTAAGGAAAGTATTTGGCAAAACATTCATTCAGTGGTTTTGAGAATTAAATTTGTGTTCTTATAAGAACCGAGTCGACTGTTTTGATTCGCTCCGGTTATCAGTTATGCTTTTGTCGCTGTTGAAGTGAAAGTCTAGCAGTATAACAAAACACTTAATATCAGGTCCCTCTGGAAACCAGTTAGTTTTGTTTTCCCTCGATTCCTGACTCAAACAACAGGACTCTCGGGAAAACAAAAACTAACTGTTCCCCTCGGGATCTGACATTATGTGTATATTGTTATATAGCTGGAATTTTTTTAACAGCGCGCGCTCTCATTCGGTTACTTCGTGGTCAAGGACATCTAGCAATGAAACTGTTTCCCGCCAAAATCTCTCAGCGCGCAATATTGCAAAATCTATGAGGTCAGAGGGTAACAGTGGACTGTTACCCGCGAATGTTGACCGACGACCGCCATTCTGCCAGGTTTAATGAATTTCCAGCTTCAAAATTTTCATCTATATAACTGATCACTCGAATAATACTTTGGCTTAAAAATAATTAATTCCTTTACAAATTTATTCCTTTACAAATGTCGTAACTCGGTTCTTGCATCTAGGGCATAAGTAGTAGTTCCGAAACACCTGCCCATAGCTGGTAATATAACGAGAAAATGAAAACATTTTTTTATTATTATTTGTATGGTCAAGCATCAATTTCGTTTTTAGTCTCACCAAGTAAAACCTTGACAGCAACCACCCGAGGTTCCGTCTTGCTGGATAACGGTTTCCGTTTTGAAATCTCTGTGCTAAACACCTCTATCCCAACTCTTTCCCAAAGCATTGCTTTGTAAACCACACCGAACGCTCCTCGCCCCAGCTCCCCTTCATATTCTATTTGCTCGCGAAGAAGTTCCCACTCGTCCAGGGGATTGATCGATCGCTGTGAAAGATATGATCTGAAAAAAAAAAAGGAAGGCAATAAAACACTCTTTCTTTTGCAATTAGCTCATCTCGTACCCAGATTTCCCACGGCCAAGGGTTCAGCGTAAAACAGATTGAGATCTGGGTACGAGATTTAAATTTCGTGTTTTTCGTAGAAAAATCGCGAAATTAAAGACCCGCGAATAAAAATCCTCGCGAAATTTAAACACCCGAACTAAAATCCCAGAAAAAAATATTAACTTGTAGTAACACCAATGCAGGATATGTATCGGCACATACCCAAATTGTTAACTGGTTTTACAGGTAAGCAGAAAAAAAACGTTACGTTAATTTGTAAAGATTTCATATATGCCGGTAGGGAACCTAACTATCATCTTGATCTGAGATCCGTACAAATCCATTATCTAGAAATTTTCAATAGTTTAGACTTTTTGAAAAATATTATATAGTCGAGAATGGGTGAATCGCGAAATTTAACGCCCTTTTTTCATACTTGCCTATTGAAATCGCGAAAGTAAAACCCCTCGAAATACTGTCTCGCCAAAATCTAGAATTCAAGTACCCTCGAAATTAAGTATCAACAAGACGCTATGTGAGCGTATATTTGGGCGTGGTCGTACTAAGGGTATGATACTTTGAACATGCTTTATTGCAGCTAAAGAACTGTCATCATATCTTACCAGAGAAGACAAATCCTTTACTCCACTTGTTTGCTGGACCACACAGCTTACACAGTATGTCCCAATCCACAACAAAAATAGTGTCATTTCACGACAATGTTTGAAAATATGCACCACATCTTCAATGCAGACATGCTTGGAGCCAAATTGCAACTTAGGACATAAGTGGTTACAGCCCGGGGAGTAAGGTTTATCTCAGCTCCACTGATACTGACAGATGTGTTTTCACACCCATAACTTTGTACAGTGTATTCCGGTTACTAACAAGGGCAAATAAAGTTCCTTAAGTCCAGTATCCACAAGGATTAATAAAAGAGTATCACATTGCATAACCTGCTACAGGGCAGCAGTGTTAACAGGAACATTGGTAACTATTAACATTTGATATATTACAATTTTCAACATTGCTTGAGAAAAGATGAGGTTCAAAGGTGGCAATATGTACACCTTTAAGTTCATATATATCCTCATTCCTATGTAGAGTCTAAAAATATTGTACTAGTTTCTGCATTTATGGTATTTCCAACAATACACATGTCCCTTCACCATGACTGTTATGATACATATCTCTAGCATGAGAATCAAATACATTATATCCCCCAGCCTCAATGCTGTAGATACCAACATCAATAATTGCCACCGTTAAAATGAATGAGTTGTAGTTCAGTGCCAAGAGTGTTTGAAATGCTGTCACCTGTGAGTAGCATATACAATAGTGATGGATGTTACAAGTATAACTGTCACTGTATTCAAGGTGGAAAAAGTTGCTCTAACACTGTAACCATTCCTGGCAATGCTGTTAACAATGACATAGATTGTCTTGCAAGCAGTGACAGACAAGAATATAATTGAATACCAACAATCATTATTTGAGTCATCATCAACTGAAGTAATCTTTGTTATCTTACTGCAAATTAAAGCGCTCAGACTCATTGCGACACATCGTTGTTCACCATTTTCCCGAAATCCTGTAACATTTCCTCGACAGTATGGAGCATTAATTGCTTTTGTAGCATCTACATAAACTAAGGGTCCTGGATTCTTCTCTATATCAGTAAATTCAAACTGTTTTAAGCACCATAAAATGGATAATTACATGTACAGAGGGGCAAATTCTTACTTAGAAGCCTATTTGGATATCTCATTCCACCTAAATCGCCTGTGCTCTAATGCTTGGACGACAGATACACCTTCCCTCGTTTACGAACTAGTTTTAGAGTTGCCCCTTAAGTAAAAACCTCACACTGTTACTGTTACTTCTGTACAAGTAGTGTAAACCTTTTCTACTTTTAACGTAACAATGAATTTCGGACGACAATGGTGTATTTTTCCGAATACTCTTCCACACAAAGAGTGTCACTTTCCGTGTTTTCTGTAACGAAGATTTTAATTTGTTCATTGGTAGTCTGCTAGGGGCATGACGGTAACCGGTCATTTTGTTCCATGGTCAGATCGTTGACATCGTTCCAAGTCAGATCGTTCCAATCAATAGTCAGATCGTTCCACAAAAAAGGTAGTTGGTTCCACATATGAAAAGTCAAGTAAATCTTTCTAAATTTGTTGAGTGAACGTTATCGAGAAGAAAAAGGTTTCGTTCATACCACAAGCTGATAAAATGATAATCGATCCAAAGTCGATTCGATCCATCCTAAAATCGTTTGAAAACAAACAAGAGACGATTTCAACCAGCCACGGGCTTTAA